AACCCACTTACGTCACAGATAATTTAGTCGCTTAGTATATAAACAGATTTGTAGGCATTGATCACGGTTAAGCGCTTAGGGTCGACACTATGAGATTCCGGATTGTGGATGATACCTCCTTTTGACATCGCGGAATGAATAAAAATTAAATACAAGAAAATGCTAAACTGCCGTAGTAAAGTGATTGCTAGGTAAACGTCAAAAATATACCACAACATATTACAAAAATCCCGATATTTCAGAGGAAGGTATTAACAAATCTAAGTGTATTACTTAAAATTTAGGCAAATTCACTCTGCCCGTTCCGATATTTCATAACAAAATATAGATTTTTCAATTTAGCATTTTTACCGGTTGAATAACCTGAAGTATAATAACAATTATTAACAAAATTTAACAATAAATCACGAGGTAACGCATCACTTTCGTAAATTACACGTGAATATAGGTGTTAGCAACAAATCAGAGTGATGAATGTAGAATAATAAGCGTGTGGGAAGCAATTGTAGCTTTATACTAAACATAAGGACTGCACGTGTAGCCGAGACGTGTTCAGAGCAACGTATTATGGTGTTTTGGTAACCTTCCTTTTAAGGAGCCAATGTTGTTATGAGCAGCGCGTCGCGAGCGTCGTCGCCGCTGCCGGTTGAGTCGGCCACAAGGGCAACCACTTCGTTTCCTGAACACGATATCAAATAGAGACTGCTGGGTCTAATACCGTCAACTATATCGCCTTTATTTATTTATTAAAGGACATTCGACAGCATATATTTGCAATTTAAAGTCACAATTTATATATACGTTACTATAATAAGATTCCATTTGATATTCAAAATTTACCATTTACTAGGCTTAAAACTATAGTTTGATGATAGAATACTATGGTAGTGACCCGTTTAGTCTAGTGACGGGACGGATAAGTCGGGTGTTAAGTGACTCGCCTATCCGTAGAATTTGCACTGTCACTCCTAGCTTTACATCGCAAACATCTAAAGGTCACTGCCACTGTGCGGGCCAACCTGGAACATAAGTTGATAAGTATCTTGTGCCTGTAATTTCACCAGCACCCTTAATCTTCAAAACAGGAACGCAGTAATGCCAACGCAGTAATAACAGCTGTTCGACTATTAAACCGCCAATTAGTCATGTTAGACAACATTAGACAACATCACATGCGTTTCTCTGATCCCAAATTAAGTAACCAAAGCACTTGTGTTATGGAAGTCGGAAACAACGACTGTACCACAAACATCCATACCCGAGACTATTTATTATGCTGAAAAGTTAATTTTTCTATATTGACCCAGCCGGGGATGAAACCCGAGACCTCTGATATGTCGTCGATTGTTGTTGTTATTAATGGTGGATTATTGAGAAAACCCACTAGGAATAGAAGTAGCATCGCTTCCAGGTCGAGGCCTTCTTTATCCAACCAGTCTAGCCACGTCGCAATTAGCTAACCAAAAATCAGTAACCCACCATCTCTCAATCCGCGTCTATCTGCCATAGCATCATTTTCAAAGAAACTTCGTAAGAAGTCTGTAATCGTGTCTATATTTCTTACATACACATAAGATTGTCAATAAAATGGTGGATAATTTTCCAATCTTCATTAGGTACTTTTTAATAATAATATATGAATTATGTAGGGTATGACGTCTACTGAAATAGTCGGAATTGCTTTACAACAACTATTTCCAGGACAAATACCGAGAAAGTGCTCTTCGACACGCCATGTATTGTTTGCCGGTTTTTGAACCTGAATCCCTGACTTCGACCGACTGCAATAGTCTATAATTGTAGCTTTTGAAAAAAAAAACCGACTTCAAAAGTTTACTTATTAGTTTTTCGATTTCCATAGGACGCCCTCATCAGACTCTGACTTCTCGGTGACAATAGGGATTGTTACAGACTCCTTTGTACATTTTATATTTTCTTTTCTGATAGTCATAGTGACGGTGATTTGTTGATTACGTGTATTGTGACAAGTGAAAGGTCAACTTTTATTTACGAAAAATAATTAGTAATTTGTGATAGCCGAAACGAACCCGGAACAGCGTCAGAGAGCACTTCGAGACTACTGTTTCAAACAAAAAAAGAATTTTCAAAATCGGTGCACAATTGACGGGGAAATTGGTGAATACATGCACAATGCTATAAAACTTGAGGATTTCCTTCGGTTTTCATGAGGTCCTCTTATTAGATTCTGACTTGGTGGCAATGGAACCATCACGAGAATGCACTCTTGCAAACAAAAATAAAATCAAAATCTGTCCACAATTGACGAAGATATCTGAAAACATATATGCAGCATAATGTATAACATCCTCTTTTTTAAAAATCGGTTAAAAATAATAATGATATATTAAATCAACACAAAAGGATCAGATTTATGTTAAACAAAGACTGATAATCTATATTGTAGGCCTTGTGAGAGAGACCGGAGACCGTAATATAAATAAAAAGACCGTACATAAATTAGACCCTGTATTACAGCTCACCAAGCCCCTTACACTTTAATTCAGATCCATCCATCTATCCATTATTAATCCATTTATACGCCGCACTGTTGGACATGGTGTCTTCTCAGGCGAGCGTTTAGGCTATAGTCTGCTACCTTGGGCCAGTGCGGGTTGGGGACATCACACGGTTTCGTCGTCACGATGGTTTTCTTTGTCAAAAAGCACATGGTAAATTTCAAATTAAATTTTGCAAATAAATTCCGAAAAACTCAATCGCCCGGAGAGCCCGAATTCGAACCTACTCTGCCTCTGCCTCTGAATTAAGCTACCATGGTTCTTAGTAGCAGATCAATTTGTTTAAATTTGTTTGTTATATCGAACTACATTACGTTATAAATAAACATTCAATATCATTTTAAATCTAGGCTAGAATAGGTTTCAGATAGTAGATTAGGGTCGAATACGTCGGTTAAGTTATGACAGTCACCATATCGTAGGTATTCCTATTATAATATTGCAACACAAAATAACAGAAATCCAAGATTACAATATTGCTGAACGCGAAATTTGATTCTCCACACGCCAATAAAACAGTCGTTAGAATATTGTAAGAAACGATTAAAATATATCGAAATGTGTCAAACGGTTTTGGGAGCTAGTTCTCGACAAAACAGTCCTTATTCATAAATACGAAATTTTCAAAATAATGTATTTGGCAAGTAGGAAATTGATTAAATGTCTGTAAAAAAGGTTATATTACTGTTAACTATCGTATTAAGCATAAGCCATTTTACGGCGACGCGAAACGCATATATTTTTCGCTCTTATTACTTAGACAGAAAGCTTTCTCTTACAGTGTAAATGTTTTTTCGTATCCATAGGTGTGACTTTCTTAGGGCGCTGTCCCATTATGTCGTAACGTTTTATTTATCGTCAGACGACTGTCGCGTCTAGCTTGTTCCCATATCACGACTATCTGTCGTGACTGTGTCGTGAACGTTTATTTTATCGTTGACCAACTGTCGTGTTCAGCTGTTTTGACTAGATCGTCACGACAATTTATCGGTTCACAGCAGAATCGTTTGAAGCTACGATTATATGTCGTCACATTTTTATTGTGCCGTTTTATTTATCGTCCGACGACAGTCGTTCTAGCTCTTCCCATTGCCACGACAGTCTGTCGTCGTAATGTCAAAAAAGTCGTAAACGACAGTTAATCGTGCTTTACTATATCTGAACCACTTCATTTAAATATATAAGCCAAAAACTGAGCACACGTAGGCCTAGTAACAAAATTAGTCACCTCTAAAAAACAGTGCACGCAGAGTCGTGATTAATCGAGTCATAGTCACTGCAGTCCGGTTGTAGCCAAACAACAAATTGCCACCGCAAAAAACGAATAATAATAATAACTTCGGTAACCTGTATACGTTTTTCGTGGTCGTGCAAAAAATTGCCTACCTCTATTGGGTTCACCTTGAGACTCAGAGTGGGCGTATACCGAACTTGATTTAGTCGCCATCTGACAAACCCTTTTTTTGTCCTGAATATAAATAAGACGAACAAAAAATATAAAGTCGAGCGAGGTTTTTTCCCCTCACACTTTCCAGAGGGACCGTCGGAGTGGAGTTTAGTGAAAGTAAGATTTGAATAATAAAGGAGAATATTCGCTTATGTTCTTACTGTTTGGTGTTGTTTTTATATTTCTACGTAAAGCGCTTTCGAACATAGTGGCCGGTAAATTTCGTACTACGAAAATATGTTTTCGAATATAGGAACTCTCACCTAGTACTTATTATGTACGTTCTCCATTTTCGTTCGATTTGAGGAAAAACAGACAACAGTATCCTTGTGCAGAACAGCCGTTGTATCGAACGCTTCCTACATGATTTGATAATAACTTCCTGCGTCCTTAAACATCCTCGTTAGCCGATGTTTTATAACATTCAGCCGAGACGCGGAAGTGTGATGGCACGCCGCCACCGCCGACGCGAGCCGCAGCGGGAGAGTACTTCACTCAATGACTGCGGCTTACGAACGTAGTTGAAGCAAGATTAGGTGAAATGGACGCCGAAGTAGGGCACTCGTTACACGAACTAGCGGAACATAAATTACTTTATCTATAAATTTAAAACAAACAAGATTTTTCACTTCAAGATGAGAACTCCTAAACCCCTTATTAACAAAGCCACGTGAGACACCATACACCAGTCGGAAACTAGAAATTAGTTTATTCAATTTACAATTTTCTGAACCGCCATAACTCATAAGATAACATTAATAATAAGGACACAAAGTTAATGGAGTAATGGCTTGCATACTAATTCATTACATTCAGCTCTTTACCAGAGCTGGCGGCGGATCGGACATGCCTGAAATAATAATCGTGCTCTCCATAATTAAACAGATAGCACTGATTTTCTACCTTGAACATAATTCTGCCTTATAATTAAGCTTAAAATGCCGATCAGTTAAATTATTGCAGTTTCCCTGTAAATCGTGACTATGTCTAACCATTTTTTTTTCTTTTGTTCGCAGACCAAAAAGAACAACCCTAATCACATCAAGAGGCCAATGAACGCATTCATGGTCTGGTCGCAGATCAAACGTAGGAAAATATGCGAGCAGACACCTGATATGCATAACGCCGAGATCTCCAAGAACTTAGGACGTGAGTGGAAGACGCTCAATGATGTGGATCGCCAGCCCTTCATCGATGAGGCAGAGCGGCTGAGGCAGCTGCATATGCGCGAATATCCCGATTACAAATACAGACCGCGCAAAAAGACCGCCAAACCAGCGCAGAGGTCTGGCGGCGTCTCCAAGCAGAAGCGTAAGCAACGTGCTGACTCCAACAATAATAAGGGGGTCTCTAGGCGACGATCACGACCTTCGGCTCCAAGTGTGCCCAGTGTGCCCAGCATGCCCGTCGAAACGGCCGCGCCGCCGCTACTGCCTGCTTCGCCCGCATGCTCGCCGGATTCTCCAGAGTCCGCTTGCCTATACGAAGACAATAGCCGTCGTGACCAGGCTGATCTCACCGATCTGTATTCTATAACAGATCTGCTCCCATTCGGAGCCGACTGCGTGGATCTGGACGCCCTGACGACGGAGGATATGGAGTCGTTTGAGACCGCCTCATCTTCATCGGGATCGCACTTTGAATTCTCGTGCACGCCAGACGTGTCTGACATCTTCAGAGAGATCGGCGTGGCTGGTGATTGGGTGGACAACACGTTCCAGTTCTCGTCGTGTTAGAGAGGCGCGGTCGCCTCGGCGTAGCGCCGATTCCACTGATCTCACGCGGCCGGCTCGCGCCGCCGCACGGAGGCTGACGACGCGGCGACCGCTCGCCGTCCCGCGCCCGCCTAGAGAGTGCCTACATCCAAAATGACGTGTCGACATTTGGATTCAATGTACAAAGTTATTTAATAAGGAATCGAGGGTGAAATTTAATTTTTATTGTCAAAAGGCCGCCTGCGGCCTATTCCTTCTTCAGTTGTATTGAGTTCTTCATATTTCGTTTTTGATAGGTATTATGATTTATTAATATAAAAGAGGCGACGAATGAATGCCATCGCTCGTCGGAAGTGCATCGGGTTTTAAAACACAGGCTGTGAGTTGGTTCTCGTTTTAGATCATTTTGCTTTCGTTTACTTTAGACACAGTTGAGATAACTCCAAAGGGCACGTCTCAGACGCATCTCGGTACACATCCGTCTATTGTCCGTCGCCGTATAGGTACCGCACGGCCGCCATTCGCGGTCCAGTCAGGTCGCTCGCACCGCGTTGTCGCGTCCATTTTCTATACGTGTACATTACTCGACTTGGCTTCTAGAGCATTCTAAAACACTAAGTTTGCAATTTCTACGTCACTCGTTTATTTTATTAACCTTTGTACTTTAAGGACGATCGTCATTTACATTTTACGTTCAAGTATCTGTCTTAGATAGATGAAATAGGTATGTATCATTCGAGTAATAGAAAAATAAGACTAGGGTATAGACATATTTGTCTTGCGTTCTATTTACTGTACGTAAGTTCACTTTATACTTTGATGCACACGTAGATGATAGTTCAACAATTATTATTTTACTGTTGGAAGCTAATCGGTATGTCATAGGAAGAATTTCGGAGAGTAGGAAGTTCGTACAGCTCTGGATGACGAACCGCCGCCATTTGACAAGGATACACTATTTCGTGCCCTGTGGGGCATTTTACCTGTTGCTAGAAGCTGTATCCCACTGCGGTGGTGGTGGTGGGTCCCACGTCGTGGACGGTGGAGAATTTCTGGTAAGATTCGTGTCAATCAATGTCGAGCGGGTACGTCTTGCTATAAATATACGTTAGATTGGTTAAGGTAAAGCTAATCTTGTTCAATGGTAAGATATGAAATTTAAAATTGTAAAGTAACGAAGGCACTCAAGGATCGATGTGAAGGGACACTGTTAACTTTCTTATTTCTTTCCTTATCTTCGCTTGTTCTGATTCAAACACAACGTCTATAGAAATATACATATCATCAAACGGAATGTGTTGTTTCGCGGGACGATGGGAATTGTAATTTTGTGGATGGTCGAAACGGTTCGGTTACACTCAAATGTTTTGCTATTTCAAACTCTGTGATTTACTTTATGGATTTTCTAAATTATAAGGTTCTAGTGGAGACTGATATCGCATAGATTAGTTTTAGCAGCGCTAGCTTCTCTAACATTTTTACTTTATAAAACTGAACGTTAATACACGATATTGAATAAATTCAAACGATACGTATTTTTGATAATATTGTCTAACTGTGGATTACATTGTGTGTCAGCTTGCGTGGATTTCAAGCCCTTGACAATTCGTCCATTGGTTCCCAGCTGAACCTCCAATTCCACAGTAACACCGACTAACAATTTGTATGTAATGCTAATTCTGTCAATTCAGTGAAAATCACGTCAGTTATTCAGGGGTTTGCGTAAACATTGCCTCTAGTGAATATAATACATACTTTCTAAAATATTCTCTCTGTAAATTCAATATTATAGTAGATATGTGTCCCTGTTAAAAAGGGAGGGATCCGTTGTGCTCTAAATGATAAGAAAGAAAATGCTTTACCTATATTATATTCTTATAAATATATATGTAAAAAAACGAGTTCGTGTAATACTTAGTAAGTGTCTGCGGAAATGTAATTATTTAAAATTAAAAAAAAAAACAAACGCGTAAAATAAAAAATACATGTTTTCTATACATTATTATAAGGCGACCGAGTAAGTTGCTTTTTCTTGTGTGTCGTGGAGCTATGTTATTATTGACGATTTATGGATAATATAAATTTGTGCCTAAATAAAGTTGTACCTACCTGGGACTCTTCTTAATATATGGAATGTACCTTTATGTATTTTAGTGATGCTCAAAACTACTTTGTAAGCGCGTAGTAATTTTTAGATGCTGTCGGTGAAGATGTACATTTGTATTAAGGACACCACGTCTTCATTGCCAGAACTGCATTTTTATATAATTTCACTTAATGTCATACTTAAACATTCGTCATCAATATCACATTTGCTACAAACCTACGAAGAAACAAGCAGTTTCATTACTTCGTGTTGTATTTTGCCTTGACCATGTAATACATCCCTCCAAGTTCTCAACTTCGACAATAAAACGTCATATTTTGCGAGTTTGCTTTGGAACAGTCTTCAAAAGTTCTGCTCTCGTTTTATTTGAATATCTTTGTTTATCTTACTTTCATATTCTCGATTGCTTTTTTAGTATCTGCGTAAGTTCATAATTTAGCATTGTTACATTCTAACTTCCGACGAATCATCGAGTTAAAGCAATGTCTATTGTATCTTTGACGCTCAAATTAGAGTAAACATTTTCACTAATAAATAATACTGTTTATATAACATTTTACATACTTTAAGAATATAGGGCAGCTTTCGTGGCATTTTCTATAGTTGAACTCATTGCACCCATAAAAATAAAATTATCTATGCCGAAATTTTGCATTTTTGACATGTAACAAAAAGGAAAATGCATATCCATTATTTGGTTGCAAACTGGTGACATTGTCGTCAACACTTGCCTAAATTGTCACTTTATTTTTAAGGGTGCGTCTTGTAGTTTCTCGGCATGTGGCGTTCTGCCGTCTTCTTTCCAGCGAGCCATATAGTTTTTATTAGCGGGGCTAGAGGTTGACCCCAGTCGTATTTATAAATCACACATCGAATTTAATGTTATTACGATTAGCGCTTCTTGTTGTGGTTCTTCAATACCTATTTGGAATTATCAGGGTTTGACGTTTCATTTAAAAAAAGCTACATTAAAAATTCCATATAATTCAAAGCCTTCCCTCGTAGTTCCGTGTCCCTAAATTCTCGCTCATTTGCCTCTGGCTTTCTTTCTTCGTAGCCAACGCCATTAACGACATCTATGAAGGTATTTTTAAAAATATGAATATGTAAATAAGTATTGACAATGTTAATAATAATGAAGTCAAAATAAAGCGACACTGTGAGAAAAATTAGAGGGTTTAAAAACGCGTCTCAAAGAAAATAAATATCATAGAAGACGTAGTTAGTTGTTGTAGGTTACGTATTATATAATATGTATTCTAACTACATATATATATATATATATATATATATATATATATATATATATATATATATATATATATATATACATATATATATATATATATATACGGAAAATATGTTGTTGTGTATTTCAGTGTACTCAGATCGCGTGGAACTAGGTTTCATATTCGCTTGTGGTCCAGTAGTGGAAGTAATCCCCATAACCACTTTGCGATACATTGCGTCTACAGTATCGAGCTATATATTTATTATATATATAATATAAGTCTTGTATATGCGGTTCAATTGAAAATGTTAGTGATATATTCACAGAACTGAAAAGTTGAAAATATTCTCGTTATGTTGTTTGAAAAAAAAAAAATGTTTGAATGTAATTATAAACTCTTGTGTATTATATATATCTATCTCCATTGTTGATTTAATTGATAAGCGTCTTCTATCTTAAGATTGGTTTACTCTTCCCTTTGAGACACAACGAAAATTTTTAATAATTTCCTACTTCCTTCAGCACAGTTTGTATTAAACATATTTAATGTATTAACAGGTAATAATTAATTGGTGTCTATAAGATGAATAAATTAAACATATATAATTATGTCCACCCAAACACAAAGGAGTGACATTTTGAAATTTCTTTCCATCACGTCAAATTCTGAATCGAAATAATGTAAATAATTTTTTATTTTCAATATTTTAGAGTTGCGCTCTTTTGTGTCTAAGGTGACTTGCGTACCCATATATAATGTCAAGATGAACCCGTAGTGATTGCATATTAATATAATTATAAAATAAATATCCGATTTGTTGTTTAATGTAGCTGTGTCATTAATAATTATTGGTATAATGTAACGGTAATTAATTATGAGTAAAAACATTAACAAAATGAAACTTCGCACAATCAGAGTCAAGGAACTAACATAGGCGTAATAATAATAATTATTAACGTATAGTTAAGACATGATGTTACATTAAATAAGGTTATTAATGATTTCTCGTGCATTTTAAGTTCTAATAATGGCATTTTGTGTACAGATAAGGTTGTATTGATTTCCGTGGCGTTGTCGCTCTGGTGCAACAGGTATTCAGTTCGTCCAACAGTTTAAACTAGAAATTTGAAAGTATTCCATTTTGCAACCGTTCGGAAATGTTCGTTATAGACGAGGTTCCGTTCGAGTATGAGCCGATGTTAGACGAACTGGCGACTTCCGGCGCCCGCAACTTGTTCAAGTTTGAATTGTGATGTTATTGCCGTTATTTTTACCAACTGTAAATAGTATTTCGTTGATCAAAATTAGGAACAAAAAACAAAATATTAAAAAATGGTCCATTAAATTTTATTATAATAACGTTAAGGTAATTAGTAGTGACGCATATGATATATAATTGTAATTTTAAATCTGTGTGCTTACCTTTCGTATAACTAAAACTTTTAAAATATGCCAAACTTAAACTTTCGAAGCTAGAAAGCATGGCTTTAACACTACACTAAGAATTGGACTGATTACATCGCGTGATTATTTCCGATGCTCGTTTCTGTTGTAAATAAATTGTTAATAGACTTTTTAAGGCCACATATTATGTTTTAAGACTTTGGAATTTATATTTCACACTAGTGCCGTGTGATCCAAACCATTCTAGTCTTGTGATTTTTGCACCGTGCTGAGTTTGGTGTCGTCTCCTCTGCTCTACATCTGCGGCGCAGGCGACGGTCGGCGCTTGCGCAACGATAAAGCAATCCTTGTCTTCGATTAATTCGGTGGCCTTTGACTCGTTGATACCTGATTTTTGTAAATTAGTGTTTTTTTAATTCAATTTATACCAAAAAAAAAATATGACGCTCTTAGACACCGTTACCGATGGATCTCTTTAATATAGCACTAAACAGTTTTATCGAAAGTTCGGCTTACCAAATAAAGAAAACGTAGTGTTTTCACGTTCTAATTGGTACTAAAATATTGTAAATAATCACCTCTTGTTTTTAAGTGAAGCGAACACACGGTTTTTTGTTAACGACTCGATTGACCCTGATAGGGTGTGGAAACACTGTTCAAGCAACAAAGGTATATTAAGTTTACTGTCCAGAATTGTCTCTGCAGTGAAACCCATCGCGTTTCCCTCGTCCGTTGTATAAATTATTGATGTGTATTTCCTAAGGTACATAATGTAACTGCATATAATGTATGTAGTATTTTAAACCGTTAAGTATGAAATAACAATAGCGTAGTTATGGATATAAGGCGTGTACATTTTGTATCCTACTTTGTTTCAATAATGAATATATATTATTATATGGTAAAAATAAATCATCCAGTTTTTAAAAAATAATCAGCATTTCATTCAACTACCTATTTTACCCTTCTGTGATCCGAATTGAGGGAATGAATATATAATATGCGTAACAGTTGCAGGGCTACTCAGAGCTTTAAATCGCAAAGATCGGACTTCACTGTCAGTTAGACATAAATTGACAAGATTTAGAAGAGCACCCTTTTACTCTTCAAAACCGGAACACAGAAATACTGAAATTACTGCTTGGCGGCAGAAATAAGTAAGGTGTCAGTACTAACCTGGACGAATGCTTTCTTACTGTGGACATGCCCATTTCGTCATCAATGCATGCAAAATTTCTTTTCTCATTGTTTGCTATTCCAAAATATATAACTAGACAACAAATTTGTAGCAAATCTTAAGAGTCTATACAGCCTTAAACGGCTTTGGTTGATTTCGCATAACAGTGAAAGTGCTAAATCAATCGCTTTGAAAAAAAAATATAGTGAAATTGAAGATATATACTGATTACTACACAGTGTGAAAACATGACTCCTAAATATTTTCGCGATGGAATAAAAAACGAACTGACCATGGTCGCGATGCGCTCCTCCTACCGCAAAATGGCGGCTACTTGGTTTCGCAAATTAGAAAAGCATTCAGTTTAAATACAATTTTTATAAATAAAAATTATTATTCTGCATTGCTTAATAAATACCCTCCGTACTACTAACAAAAACATCTCAAATAAAATGCAGTAATACGCCGCAAATCCTGCACTTAAAAAGCACTAATGAAATTTTTGGTGTACTTGGATAAATATGATAATATTCCGTTTGAGTGGTTCTAACGTTTACCATGAAATTACACCTTATAAACATTTATATTCAGGGTAAACTTAAAAAACGCTACTTACGGTATGTTTTCAATAACTAAACACCTAAATCACCACCCCAAACAATAACACACACAATTGTCGTGACGTATTTTTGAAGTTGTTTATTTTTTTTAAATGACAGACCCAGGCATTAAAACCTTTATGGTTTGCTAGAGTAGTTACCGAAATAGGAATTAATATTAGTTCTTTTACTTGTTATAACTTCGATATCCGATAAATCGGTATAAAATCATCACC